GTTTGATGTGCTCATTAGAGCTGTGTATTTCTTCTGGGGTCCCAATTTTTGTCTTGATGTTTAAATGCAGTCCTGCTTTGGCACTTCTTTCAGTTCATCAGCAGTTGTTCCAAGTCATTACTACTTTCTGCCAGTAAGATGGTGTCATCTGTGCATTTTAAATTATTGATATCTATATCTTCCACCAATTTCCACTCCTTCCTGAGCCTAGCCCAATTTTTTATACATGCCCTGTGTACAGGGTAAACAAGCAGGGAGATAAAATGCACCCTTGTCTGACATCTTTGCCAATAGAAAACTATTTTTTTCCTCTACTTAAAGCTAGATTCTTTCTTCTAGTTAATTTAGGTGTAATTTCTTCTTCATCTTCTTCTTCTTCTTTTTTTTTTTTTTTACTTTTTTAAAGAGAAAATTTAAGGCAATTGATTTAAACTTTTTTACTTTTCTAATGTAAGCACTTAAAGCTATACAATTCCTTCTAGTCACTACTTTAGCCAAATCCCACAAATTTTGATATGGTTTTATTACCATTCAGTTCAGAATATTTTCTAATTACTCCAGTAATTTCTTCTTAGATCCATGGATTATTTAGAAATGAGTTGTTAATTTCCAGGTATTCTGAAATTTTTTAGATACATTTTCATCATTAATTTCTTTTTTCTTTTCTTTACTTTTATTGTATTCTTTCCATGACCAGTTACCCCCTCCTACCATCTCCCTCTTCCGCTCGCACCCTCCCCACGGTCACCACACTGCTGTCCATGCCCATTAGTCCACTTCTCATTCTAATGTGGTCAGATACCACAGTCTGTATGGTTTTAGCCTTTTAGATTTCATTCATTTATATTTCTTACTTTTTATTGTCCAGTTACAGTTATCTTAATTTTTTCCCCCATTCATCTGCCCTGTCCCCCCACCCCCACTCCCTCAGTCAACCCCCACCCTGGTGTCCAGGCCCGTGGGTACTTTATACACGTTCTTTATCTAGGTCCTTGCCCTTGTTTCCCCCGTTATCCCTGTCCCTGCCCCCCTCTGGTGTCTGTCAGTTTCTCTCACTCCTGAGAGGCCCACTTGGTGGTCCTGCACATGGTCTATGGGGAAATGTTGTGTATGTACTTGAGGAAAATTATATTCTGCACTTGCTGTGTGTCACATTATAGTTATAGGTGTCAATCAGATCAAACTGGTTGATACCGTTGTTCAAGTTTTTTATATCCCTAGATTTTCCTGCTGCTTATTTCATCAGTTACTAAGAGATCAATGATAAACTCTTATCATTGTACATTTTTCTGCTTCTCCTTCTGGTTTTGCCAGTTTTGTTTCATGTTCTTTGAAGCTCTATTGCTAGGTACATAAACATTTATGACTGATGGTCTTCTTGAGGAATATATCTTTTAATCACTATCTCTGCTAATAATACTTGCCCTGAAGTTTACTTTGCCTGATATTAATATTAGCTATGGCAGTTTTATGATTATTATTTGATGTATATCTTTTCCCATGCTTTGAACATGCCAGTCCACAGTTGCTCTGACATTGCAGGTGCTTATTTCTCTTTTTTACTTTTTATCTAAAAGGAGAGGCACACCTCTAAAAGTGTATGGCTCTCTGAGATAGTCACAAAATGCACACTCCCACGGAACTGATCCTGATAAGACAGAATGTCCCTAACACTCCCCCATGTGTCACCTTCTGGTCCTCCCCACTTCTTCAAGAAAACCACCATCTGACTTCTAACCTGAGATTCAAACTTGAAGATGCTGGAATATTGAGTTTCTGACCAGCTGCTCCACAGCCAGGGCAGTGCCTCTCCCAGCCCATGGGGCCACCAGTTCGTTCTGTCACTTGTGCGGCCCGCTTGTTTGTGTCTTTATATTTAAAGTGTGTTTCTTGTAGAAGCATATAGTTGGACCTTGCTTCATTATTCAGTTTGACAATCTCTGCCTTTCACCTGAAGTTTTAGGTCATTTCTGTGTAACTGTCCATATAGTTAGATTTAAATCTACCATCTTGCTACTTTTCTTTATCCCACTTGTTCTCTGTTTCTTTTTTCCTGTCTTCTTTTTTGAATGATTTTTTTCATTTTATCTCTGCTCCATATATTGTCTTATTAGTTATATGTCAATATTTTGCATTTATAATAAGCATCTTTAGAATATAATGCTCTACCTTCAAGTAACGCTATGTATAATGTGAACCTTTCAACAATATACGAGGTCTGTCTGGAAAAAGTACAGCCATTTTTAATACAATGAGAATGGTTTGTGTGACATAAAAGTAACCTGGCAGCCAAGAAGAGTGGACTGGAATGCACACGTTTGAACAATGACGACTTCACTGCAGTAGTCACTGGGGGTAGTAGATGCCATCGAGTGAGCACGTTCATTGTGTGGCCATTGCATTCAAAATGACTGAGCCAGTAGAGCAACAAATCTGCATCAAATTTTGCATTAAGCTTGAATATTCCTCCTCGGAAACTATTCAGGTGATTCAGAAGACTTTCAGGGACAATATAATGAGTGCGGTGTGAGTAAAAGTGCAGCATGAACACTTCAAAGATGGCCAAGAATCTGTTGAAAGTGATCCTCATTCTGGAAGGCCTGCAACAAGCAGAACACCTGAGAATGTTGAACATGTACGAAGCTGATCTGGGGATTCCAAAAACTGCTATGTCTGAGATTTTGATGCAGGATCTTGGCATGAAATATGTTGTGGCAAAACTCATTCCATGGCTTCTGCTACCAGAGCAGAAGGAACATGGTGCTGCAGTTGTCAATGACTTGATTCAAACCACCACCAGCGAACAAGGTTTCCTCAGGTGATTGAAGGTGAGGTCCCAAGGTGGCTACTTTGAAGGGGACTGAGGCATCCTTGTCCCATGTATAATTTTCCTTGTATTGCAGCTTCTTCAATAAATATCTCTATTTTTCATCGTACATGGCTGAAAACTTTCTAGACAGACCAATGTCCATTTTCCTTAACCTTGCCCTATTGGTTTCATACATTTCATTTTCACATATTATAATCCACTCAATATGCTATTATCTATGCATGAATCATCAATTATAACCCTCAGCTAACATTACATTCAATGGAAAACAAGAAAAGGATGCCTATTTTTGCCAGTGCTATTTAACATGGTATTGGAAGTCCTAGCCATAAGGTTTAGACACAAGAAATAAAAGGCATACAAATTGGAGAGAAAGAAGTAAAATTATCTCTGATCATAAGTGACATAATCTTATATGTAGAAAACCTTAAAGATCCCACAGCAAAAAAAAACAACTGTTAGAGCTAATAAGCAAAATTCAGCAAAGTTGCAGTAAAGATGAACATAAAAGTCAATTGCATTTCTATACATTAGTAATGAACAATCTGAAAAGAAAGTTAACAATTCCATTTACAATAACATCAAAGAGAATAAAACACTTAGGAATAAATTTAACCAGGGGTGTGAAAGACTCATGCACTGAAATCACTAAAATTAAAGAAAACATGAATAAATGGAAAGACATCCCATGTGCGAGGATTGGGTGACAATATTGTTAAGATGACAATAGTAGCTAAACAATGTAAGATGTTGAAACTCCAATGGCATTTTTAGAAATAAAAAAAAATTCTAAAAATTTATATGAATCTCAAAGTTCCCCAAATAGCCAAAACAATCTCGGGGAGCTCACACTTCCTGTTTTTAAAACCTACTACAAAGCTATACTAATGAAAGCAGTGTGGTACTACCGTAGGAGAGGTAGATGTACAGGTCAGTGGAATGGCACAGACAGCCCAGAAGCAGACCTACTCATACATGATCACTTGACTTTTGCTAAAGGTGCCAAGATCATTCAATGAGGAAAGAATAGTCTTCTCAACAAGTAGTGCTTAAAAAAAAAAACCCTAAATAATCACATGTAATACTAGATACCCAACTTTCAAGGAAGTTCGGCTCTTACTTTACACCACATACAAAAATTAACTCAACCTGATCAAAGACCTAAGTGTAAGAGCTAAAATCTTAAAACTTAGAAAACAACATGGGGGAAAGGATGATATCAAAAGACACCATCAAGAGAGTGAAAAGACAGTTTACCAAATGGGGGAAAATATTGGAAAATCTTGTACCTGATAAGGAATTAATATTAATATTAATCTAATCAGGCCTCTAATTTCCTCTAAATTGGGTTTCCAATTTATAGGAAAATGGGAAATAGAACAAGTTAAACACTAATATGACAAAAAAAAACAGACAAATCTAGAATATGAGAAATTCTAAAACATAATTGGCCTAGTAGGGGTGATGTGCAGGATTAAAAGAGGTTAAACAGACAACAGAAGACAATGCATAAACCTTGACTGATCTTGGATTGTGGCTGTGGGGACAGGAGAGAGCTTTTAAAGACATTCGTAAGATAACTGGGAAAATATGAATCTATATGTTAAGTGCATCAATAGTATTGTGGATATGCAGGAAAATGTACTTAAACTTAATAAATGCATACTAAAATACTTTATGTGTTATAAATTTTGAAACTTACTATTAAATAATAAGTTTTGGGTAAAAAAGCTGCGGGCCACTAAATTATACAACTGAAAGTAGTTAAAATGGTAAAGTTTATATTATGGGAATTTGATCTGAAAAAATAAACATAAAAAGAGCTGTGGGTGCCTGACACTGGGGAGCTGTCACAGAACTGCTTCGGTCACGCTGCGTGGCTCCGGTCTCACAGAAGGTGGTGTGAGTGGCATGCCCTGTGGTCCGCTAACACCATGACACTGGGTATAGTGTTGTTCTCACACTGAGACAGAGTTCGAAGGAAACATGGAATCTTTAGGCAGAATTGAAATAAATAGGATCATATCAATTGTATGATACAATTACTTTTATGTAATTTAAGTGCTATTGTTAATTTTAGAGTGCAAAGGAGGAGTGATAGTTTGGCCAAAATTCAAGCACAGCCTCAATTGGCTGAGAAGGTCAAAAGCAAACCGAACTGGCCACACACCTGGGTTGATGGATGGAGGCGGAGGAGGTGGGAGGGGCCGGCCTTCCTTAATGGCTCGGGAGCACTGCTTTGCTGATCGAATCGCGTTAATGAAGTCTTCATGTTGCTGTCTCCAGTTAGCTTTCCTCACAGGTTGAGGCTATTAAAAAAAAAAAAAACCAACATACACTGAACTATCTCTCCATTATCATCTTCTTTTTTTTTTTTTTTTGCAGCTGGGATTTGAATTTACAGGAAACAGGACTGTGAAAATTTGGAAAGGAAAGTAGAATTTGTTTTTCAAAAGTACTAAAAGAGGTTTGGAACATATAGTAATAAAAATCACTATCACAATAGTGAAGGAAAACCCAAAATAATAATCAGAAAAGAAGAGAAACTACAAAAATGTAAAGGAAGATTTAAATGTAAGATTAAATGTGACTCTCTTCCAAGTTAATTGCTAGATTTAATGCTACTCTAACGAAAGTATAAACAAGATGCTTTTTGGCCACATATGGAAAGTATCTGAAATACATTTGGAAATCTTAGTGAGCATGATTAAAAAGAGTACAGTAAAGGTGGATTATACTTACATGACATTGAACTGCTCTATCAAGCAAAAATGAAACCAGAGAGCCAGCAAAAGGCTTTAATGTACTTATGGATGTAATCAAGAACAATAAGGAAGATACTGATAATACCTTGGATTGAGGAGTTGTCCTCACAGTGAAAATGTCAGTACCCTGTAATCTTTGTTTCAAGGAATTGAAAGGTTTACGCTTTTTGTTGAAGAGTTTTTTACATATTGGTCCATGCCTTTCCTAGAAAAGAAAGCAGTGATTAATTTTTTTGAAATGTGCAATCACAGAGTTTGTAATCCTGCAGTGTACTCAGGCAGCTCCCACTGCAGTGACTGAGTTGCACCTTCAGAGCCAAGTTCATTCTCCAACTCTCAAATCACAGCAGAGCAAATCCATCTGGCTCCCCTCACCCATGTTACACATAACTAGATATAATGTTTGGTCAAGGTCAACAAAAGGTCTCTAGAACTAGAGAGACTTACTTCACATTTGGTTTTATACATTTAACCCTACCACTTGGGCTGTATGGATGGTCCTAAGCATTAAATAATGTCGCAAACACGAACTTTGTAGTTGAAACTGAAATAAATATTTCTGATAATTGAGCTGTTTCTAGTTACTCACTGAAACCAACAAAGTTTTGTTGACTACTTCCTCTGTTCTGTTTCCTGCCTTCACTATTACTAAGTTTCAAAAGCAAGTCATCCAGTAATATACCAGGACATCTGAGTCCCAACAACTCACATATTCAGTGTTACCATTTTCTCAAAATAGCCCTTTGCACACAGCAAAGGGAAATACAGCTTCCTATCAACGCAACCTTCTCAGAAAAACACTTCTTACCACTCGGCATTCCAAAACAAGTTTAGATGGGCCACTTTTCTACATACAGCAAATTAAACCGATTAACTCCTGAATAGGAGTGGAGCAGTTTCAAAGAAATGGTTGAGAACATCTGTAAGAGACAACCGGAACAACCATAAAATAAATGAAGAACACACCGATTCCACTTAAGGTATAGAGACATTTTCCTTGAATTTACCCAAACATTCCACATGATTAGTGGAGTCATTTATTTCAGAACAAATCTAAGCTTATCATATTCAATTAAAAAAATATGACAGTACTTGTAAGACGTTCGGCAGGGGAAGCGTTCTGTGTTCTAAATAGAAGTCCTTAGCATTTCTGGTGCAAAACCAGGGAACCAACACATAGAGCCTCTGCCCATGTACCAACTTTACGAAGTCCGTTACTGCACCCCAGGAAGGAGATTAGACCAACATCTTTGCCTTCTACTCCGAATCCTCTTTCATGGTGGATATGTCACTCACAGTAGTTATCACTTACATAATTGCCTTGTCCAGATGCAATACAATACAATCTCTGTGAAAAACATCACACCTGTCTATAAACTAAAGAAAAGAGAGATATCGGATCAATGGGTCAGATGTTCTCTGTAGCCCAGAGACAGGCCTAGAAAATACAACTCAAAAGGACCCCAGATGTACTTGACATTTAGTGATCCCTCTTCAAAGGGTACCGAGCACTCCTCCAACCTTCCCGCCCCCCCCCCCCCACCCGGGGCGCAGCCTGGGCTGGTGCAGGCATGACAGTGCCCTGGGAGACGCCAAGCCACAAGGCCCTGAGAGCTTCCCTTCTAGATTCAGGAAGCTCTAGCTGCAGTCAACTAAAAAGAACAGACATTCTGATTTCGGAATGCCCCAGAGAAATAAAGCCTACAACTTCATTTGGTAGTCTTTTGCCTCAGAAGTATTCAGGTCTGTACCCAAATCCTTGTATTTCATGCAAGTCTCCTTGATCTAAAATGTCCCAACTAACAACTGCACTGTCATAATTGTTAAAACCATTTGTTCTTGAGAATATTTTTATAATATGGGTGTCTAATACCTGTTGGATTCCCTGACTTTGAGATAAATCAAGTTTCATAGGCATCGATCAGGAAACATGATATGCAGTTAGCTTAAAATTAGTTTAACAATTAAATCTTGGAAAAGGCCTCACATCCATTTTGTCCCAATTACACAAACCCCCTGAAATTGGAGGGTTTTGTCTGTATACGTGGCAAAGCAGGAAACAGAGGGAGGTTAAAGGACTTGTCAGAATTAGTGACAAATTTGAGGCTAAAAGCCAAGTTTCCAGATGCTCTAAATTCAATGTTCATTCCTCTTGACTAGCTAATTTCCCTGGTGCTTTGGCCTCAAAATTTGGATTTCTGATGCTTATAGAAAAGGCGAAAGAGCCAAAAGCTCTCAAGAGACAACCAGCTGTGCCAAGAGGCTTTCATCTGGCATTCTTTCAGTTTGAGGACCAGGTTTTAGGAGCTCCTCTTCGCACGGGGCAGCATGGAACAGCCTTGGTGTCCTCCTGGCCTGCCAGCCGTAGGTCATGGGCAGCTCTTCCCTTGCTTCCCCTCCACATCTGTCTTTAATCTTTGCCACTGCGGCCTCCTCACTGACTTGACAGTTCATTTAACTCCAATGAAACACATCTACAAAATGTCTTTATGTTTACCAGAACATCTGCTGCAAAGCGTCTTCCACAGACTTCACAGGGAAATAATTCCTGATTGCCATCTGTACAAGATCCAAGAGCACATTATGTTAGTTTCATGGAATTGCCTGCCTGAGAAGAAATAACTAACTGGAGACCTCAATAGCTTGATATCCTTACTCTTTTTTCCCCCCCTCCCCAACAACTCCTCTCTTCTCTCAGAAAGATCCTCTGTAAACTCACCTGTGTTTTTCTCTCACTTCACTAAACAGGTAAATTCCATATCCTACAGGCACCCAGTATATAGTTATAACTGTTTAACATGTAATATAGTCTCAAACAAAGTGCCCGGTAGCTTTGCTTTAGCCCTAAGTATAAAGTCAATCCCTTACTGTGAAGTCATGAATAACCCAGTGGCGATGGTATCCTGGGTGTTGCTACTAGAACAGAAGGTGTGTGTGCGTGCTTGCTTAATGAAGGGCATGCCCATTTATCAGAGATCACAGGAAGAGGTTGCCTAATCATGAACTTCAAGGTCAACTTTCCTGGGAATGGCTTTCTCTCTCCCAATTAGCTCTCTTTGCTGGAAAAAAAAAAACAACCCTGCTTATAAAGAAGGAAGTAGGAGAGAGATGAAATGGACCAAGTAGAACTGGTGGACTTCCTTTTTCAGTCCTCACCTGAGGATATGTTATTATTGATGAGAGAGGGAAAAACATTGGTTGGTTGCCTCACATACGTACCCTAACTGGGGATTGAACCATCAACCTAGGTATGTGCACTGACTGGGAATCACACCCACCACCTTTTGGTGTCCAGGTCAACACTCCAGCCAACTGAGTCACACTGCTGCAGAACAGGACCAGTAGACTTCCACTGGAGTCAGGAAAGAGGGGCCATTACCACGAAGCAGCATATGAGAATGATGAACATCATTCCAGGGGTCAGGTTCGGGGTCTGACCTCCTGATGGGGCAGCGAATAATAGTTACTACTGGTATTTTGGTACATAGTGGTCAATGAGCAAAGGATTATAATAATAATATGTATGATTACTACTAGGTACTGTTTTTATTTTAATATTTAGCCATAGAAGAATTTTAAAAAGTTAAATGAAGAATAAACTCAATGCAAAAGGAAAAAAGGCTGAGACGGTGCCCACGATGCCCCAGCGCCTCAGAGTTACCTGACCTGCATGCAGTAAAGTGCTCAGTAAATATTTGCTGCATGCACGGGCCAAAGAAGAGTTGAGTTTCTACCACAGGACCAATCATTCATCCAATAAATATCTGCTACATGCAGCTCTGTGGGGATATTGAGAGAAACCATACGTGGGTCCAGCATTGAAAAGGAAAGTATGCACATAAATTAAGTGAAGTTAGAAAAGTGTCACGAGAAAAGGAAAATATTATGGAATTCTGAAAGAAAAAAAGAGTTCGCTTTGTATTACTTCCTTTCTGTTCATCTGGAGTTGAGTAAATAAAGATTTAAAAAGCAGTTTGATCATGGAGAAGATTTTGCACTAGAATAAAAATCTGGGCTTTTTTTCTACAAACAAGGGGAGCGATCAAGAACATTGAATAGGACCCTAGCCAGGTGGCTCAGTTGGTTGTTGTCCCGAACACCAAAAGGCTGCAGGTCTGATTCCTGGTCAGGGCACATACTTAGGCTGTGGGTTCAATCCCCAGCTGGGGCACATAAGGGAGGTTAAGCAATTTCTCTCTCTCTCAAATCAATAATCCTATGCTCAGGTGAGGACTGAGAAAAAACCACTGAGTGGGAAGAACGTGAACTATAGAAGATTCATGTGACAGGAGGGAGGCGCGATGAACGGTTGGTGGGAAGGAAAGATAGGATTTTAGTTAAAAAGCTAAAGATGTCGGCCTGCCATGGAAAAGAAGGAGGAAACGGAAGTCGCTGCGGTCAAAGAATGGACGGCCTGGCAGATTCAGGGGGAGCTGGGTGGTGGCAGAGAGAGAACGCCCGAGACCGAGAAGATGGTCGGGCTGTAGGTAGAAAGGGAGCATTTGAGAAATGGGGCCATCTTAGTTAGAAACATGACCTCAGCTTTGGAAATACTGAGTTTGCAAAGGAGTCAGCCAGCCAGCAGGATGGAGAGGAGGGAGGTCAGGGCTAGAGACACAGATGGGGGCTTTGTTTGGAGAGTGATGTAAAGGCACGATGCTGCCAGAGAAGAGGTCATGGAAAGAGAAGTGCGGGGATGATCCCGAGGGGGCTCCGCGTGTCAGGGCCAAGAAGAGGATGATGATAAGCCAGAAGGAGAAGCAGGGGAGAACAGGGTCATGGAAACCAGGGGAAGACCGTTTAAAAAAGGGAGGCCTGATTAACAGGAATCAGATGGTAGCTCATTACACACGATGTTGATTTAAATGATTTCTTCTCGCATCTGCCAGATGGTATTGTATTTGCGACACAGGTTATCCATTACAGCACACAGAAACACACTCACCCTCTCTGTTCTCCTGGCCTTCCAGCTCTGTAAAACAGGATCTTATTTTATTTTATTCTTTTTTTAGCAAAGATATCCCACTCCTCTGCATACGTACTGTTAATGAAAACTACTCATTCCAGCTATAAAACTGCTGCTTTGTCTAAAACACTAATGAAGGGTTACTTGTATAAATATTACTTTAACATTTTAGACTGGTTTCCTGTTCCCCAAATGTTTTTCCTATGTAATCGCATTTGCTAATCACTGCTGATCTTAGGAGACAGGGTTGGTATTTAGTAATAATTATTATTATTAGATAAGAAAACAGGTTCAAGGCTAGGTGGCTTGTCTGAGACCACAGGTAATAAGTGGTAACACTGACACTTGAACATGATACAAGTATTAAGACTATTAGACTGTCACCATAGACACAGGGTCTAGCAGAAGTAACACCTGCTTGAGTGTGTTTGGTAGGATAATAACATGGGTGTGATAATTTATAGTTTTAATTCGACCATTTCACCTAAAATGTCATATGGTGTGCTTCGGTGTGATATTATTATGTTACAGAATTACATGCTTATGATTCTGTAATACAAAAGGGGCCTTATTTGTGCTGGACCCTGTATATGTCACTACCAACCAGCAAAGCAAACGAGAAGTCCCTGGAGAAACAATAGCCTTTGACTTAAATCAGCAAGTTTTAAAGAGTTCAGCGAGTTTAAAATAATGACAGGTACCACATGATTCAGTTGAACAACTAAAATACATGGATCACCACATTCTGAATGACATTCAGTTGGAAGCTTGATTACAAGAAGGGAAAACCTGCCTAAGTCAGTTGGACCAAACACGGAGACTAATTAGGTCTACAGTGTTTGACCTAAATTGCAAGCAATGGATGAACACTAGAACCTTAAAAGAATTCTTTGAAATAACCAAAACACCCTTTGAAGGATGAATAAGCTGTTCTGTGCATACTCTGAAATATTACTCATCAGTAGAAAGAACAACTGTTGATACATGCAACAGCCTAGATGAGTCTCAGTGCTGAGTAGAAGAAGTCAGCCTCTGAAGGTCACGTACTGCATGATTCACTCGTATAACATTCTCAAAGTGACAAAATTATGGAGTGATCGCCAAGAGGGAGGGATGATGGCGGAGGGAGGTGGCTGTGACTGTACATGGCAGGATGACAAAGGCCTTCAGGTGATGGAATGGTCACATGCGCATACAATGCTATAGGTGTATAAACACACACGTCTTTCTTGGTTTTGATGGTGTACTGTAGTTATCGAAGTTGTAACTTGGGGGCAACTGGGTAAAGGGTGCATAGGGTCTCTTGTATGATCTCGAAACTTTGTAAACTGTAATTATGTCAAAATTATGTAAAAATGTCTAGGAGTTGACAAATTGTGGCCCATGGTCCATATCTGAGGCTGCATGTTTTTGTAAATAAATTTTTATGGGTAAAGAGTCACACCCACTTATTTGTTTATATAGTACATACTGCTGCTTTCATACTACAATAGCACAGTTGAGGACTCGCAACAGAGACCTTATGACTTTCAAAGTCAAAATTACACTTCTTGGCCTTTATGAAAACAGGTCGCCAAACAGTAAATTAGAATGTAGTAATTAAAAATGATCTTGGGAGAATAACATGGAAAATGTTAATGATACATTATGTTTAAAAATAAAGAGTATACAGATCTCTCTATATATCTACATACTATATATAGATATATATGCAGCAGTCACCTATGAGTTGTAAGAATAAAAGTATTTCTTTTTCCTACGTTTTCAATTTTTCTGCAAAGATACATTACTCTTTGAAATATCAGAATAAAAGATTAAAAAAAAATTGAGCCCCTTCCCCCAGCTGCCCGTTAAGTGCTCGGGGCCTTCCTTCCGAGGAAGCCAGGGCTGCGCTGGGGTGAGGCCCACACTCCATCGGGAGACTCGCACTCACCCACAGCCTGGCCTCCGGCTAGGAGTTCATGTGCACAGACTCCATCCTCAGCCTGCACAACAATGAGGTGACTGTGACGGAGGCTAAGATCAATGCCCTCATTAAAGCAGCTGGTGTAAATGTTGAACCTTTCTGCCCAGGCTTGTTTGCAAAGGCTCTGGCCAATGTCAACATCGGGGGCCTCATCCGCAAGGTAGGGCCCCCTGCATGACTGCTGCCCCAGCAAAGAGAGAAGAGGGTCAGGAGTCTGCCGATCACATGGGCTCCAGTCTTTTCGACTTTTGTAACATGTTCAATAAAAAGCTGAACTCTGGAAAAAAAAAAAGCCCCATGGATAGAAGAGATTCTAAAACAAAGTGTATCAGTTTAGCTATTTGTACTTTACTGTCTCTAATTGGAGTCTTAGTAGATTTTTAAAGTAGCCATTACTTTGCTACACTGGTTTATAATCTTGGAGAGTTTTAAAATGAGGAAAAGAGAGTGATCTGGAAGTGATCAACAGTTTTGTTTAGCACGCTAACAGTGAAAAATAAGCATTTGGGATCTCAGTTCAAAAACTTTATAAGAAGCCTGGAGAGGATTATGGCTGTAATGAAATTGGAAAAAATTCTACTTCTGACAAGACATTCTCTTTCTGAGCTGGAAGAATGCTTTGTAAAAACACCTACTAATTCACATTTCCTTTTAAAGGCATGGGAGAGAAGGAAAAAGGAAGATGTTTTCTCATTCCCTTGTTAGCAAGTCAAAGAACTCTTAAATCCTTTACAATCCAGAACATGCAAACATTAGCAATTTCGACATCTTCCAAGGCCATATGGCAAAGAGGGTGGTGTACTGATCTCAACTTATTAACTTATCTCAGGAACATGAGTTATGACACACGAAAAGGAACGAGTTAGCATGGTGAACACCCCATCAATATTTGCTTGCTCCCACAGCCCCAGAATACTAAGGTAAACAGACAGAAGGACATAGAGAAACGTAAGGACAGGGACGAAAGACAACAATTAAAAAAATTGGAATCTGGAAAGCTGATGGGCATGGTAACCAATGTGCAGGAAAATCCACTTCCCAGGCAGACAGGAGGAAGACCTGGGAATGGCCCAGGTGTGTCCTGCACAGCCCTGAAAAGGCAGCACGGCCTGCGGGACTGAGACAGGGTCAGTGAGGGGAAGAAGAGACTGCTAACTCACGGAGGAGCGGGGTGCAATCTCCTCAAAAGAGCAGTCCCAGATGGTCTCACTCACTGCACGCCTGCTGGCTGATGGCCCTTCCCCAACTCCAGCATAAGTCTGCTCCCCAGGAGGGGGTAAGAGGAGGTCTGTGCAGGAGTGAACATGAGGCCCAGCTGAAGGTGTGGGGAGGGAGTTGTAGGTATGTATGCATACCTACAGCTGTGGCAACTGTGGGTGAGTCTCAGCATCTCTGGTGGAAAGTCTCTGGTTCACTAAGTGAGAAGACACTGGACTGGAAAGACTCCGAAGGAAAACGCACAGCCTCTGGTCACAAATTGTTATTGATCTATCTATACATACTTTGTTTTATGTATTGCTGTTTAAATACACCGTATTTAAGTAAAGTTATTGATTTTTTCAGTAACACTGAAACACTGAACTCATGGCCAACACCGTAACTGGAGCCTGAATGAGGCTAATCCAACAGTTTTTTCTCTCCATAAGGCACGTCCCGGGCTTCCTGGGCTGAGAAACACTAGGTGATTTCAACACTGCGTTTGGGGGCCATCTTAAACAGTGAAATCACCAAGAGAACAGTGCAAACACAAGAAAAGTGTGCCTCCCAGGAGGCTGTGAAAAGGCCACTCGTTTACGGCATGAGCTGGAACTAAGGCGGAGTATCACCTTGTTCTGCCTGAGCTGGGAACGTGCACGTCAGGACAAACTTTTCACCGCGTGTCCGTGAATGATCAAGGAAGTGCTGTCAGCGTATGTGCAAATAGGGACCCCATGATTAAGGAGGATTAACTGTATATGTAGTTGTATGTGCATACACACACATACATGTATGCATACAATCCAGTGATCAATCTCATGAACAGTGATGCTGGAAGCAGAGAACGCCGCACACCTCCCTGTCTCTGCTCGACTCTCGGCGCCCTGCCGGCTAGTCCCTTACTCCCGAGGCCGAATATATATAACTATATATTTGGGAGTATAGAACTATTCCATGAGGACAGGGCAAAGATGCTGACACTGCGAAGATTCCCAAACAGCTCACCCAGACCACCCAAATGAAGCTCAAAATCATCAAACGCTATTCGCCCATTTAGAGCTCCCAGTGTTTTCTCCCTCCAATCTTAATCATGGACAGAAATGAATTTCCAAAGATCTGAGGAAAGTACCTAGCACATAAGCCTCCCCAAAACAAAGAGACAAAAAGCAATTTAAAGGAAAATGAAATCTCTTGGAAATTAAAGACTTATAGGAGACATTAAAACCTCAGTACGAGGTTGGGAGATAAAATTAGGGTGGTCTCCCAGAAAGCAAAGTAAGATGTCACAGAGATGGGAGCGGAACATAAGCAAGTTAGAGCACCTGTCCAGAAGGTTCTACTCCAAATGATAGGGATTCAAGAGAGACAGTGAGAAAACACAAGGAAGGAAATAAGATAATTTTTAACCATTTCTAGAAGTGAAAGGACATGAGCCCCCTGGTTGAAAGAATGAAAATAGATCTACAACAATAAACATCATCATAAAATCTTAGAACACTGGAGACTAGATGTTCTACCAACTTAGAGGGAGAAAAGTAACATACAAAGCATCAGGGATCAGACAGCTTCAGGTTCCAAGCTGTGAACATGGGAATGGGACAAACCCTTTAAACTCCGGAGGGAAAATAATCTACAACCCAGAATGTTATACCTAGTCATGCCATCCATCAAGTATGGAGGCAGAACTTCCAGACATGCCAAGGTTCCAAAAAGTTACACATCCGGTGTAACCTACCTCATGAATTACTAGAGGACGTGCTTCCCAAGGTGAGCAAATAGGCAATTCAAGACGGAGGGAGAAGGGAACGCCCCGGGGTAACAGCCAGACACCGTAACCAGTGAGCTGCCAGCCCAGGGTTGGAGGTGTGGCACCAAAGACACCCATGATGAAGACTGTCACGACCAAGATCCCCGCTGCCTTTGTAATCGGAGAGCAGTCGGGTCCCTGTCTATCTGGCTCCCATTGGTCTATGCTGGACTTGGTTGAGCAAGTCCCAGTGAAATACCTGCTCTCCACTCCAACTGTGGTTGGTGATTTACGTGCCTTAGGACACACTTGTCACCTTGCTCACTGACACCTCCACACGGGGCTCTTGTAAACTCTCTTGTAATCGGACTCAGAGACTATTAAGCCCATCTTTTCAAGGATGCCTTCATCAGTGGTGGCAAATACTGCCTTCATAGAGCTAGATTTACACTTAGCTGTTCAAAACGAAACAAGACTGTGTTCAGGAATATCATACAGGTGATGTAGTCTATACAGTACAAAAGAGGAGAGTGGGATGAATTTGAGGATGGACCCACGTGGGACTTGCATGTTGTATTTCTTAACTTGAATAGTAGGAGTTCATGATAAATCCTCCTGTAAGTTTCACAGTTAAAACGTGAGGCCATTAGAGTTTTTATCTTCTCCTGTGTTAACGGGAACAAACAAGCTGGACAAAACAGTAATGTCAACACACAGAAGAAGCAACAAAAGTACTTAAGTATGGATAATGTAACACTAAAGTTACAAGATGCTAGGTAACAGTCCTGTCCTTCACCAGAGGTGATTCGATGACATCACAATGGATGGGTGGAAACAACACATCCTAGGTTTTATACAGACATGGTGGTTTGTTTTGGACACTTGATTTGTAAAATAGTTCTAAAATATATGAAAAAGTGATTTCATACCGCTCATGGGTAGTCCTTAAAACAAGAAAATTCACTTTGCCCCCTACCTGGAATGACAGGCCTTCTTTCTCCTTGCTAGTTTCAAGACTATTTCCCATTGTTTCCTCTAAGTTGAAGCCACTTTTTTCCTAAAAGTCTTTCCCAACTACCCATTCATGTATATACTACTTAGTGACCATTTACCAAAAGCCAGGCACTGTTCTAGACCCGGAGATGAAAGTGCTAACCACAAGTTCCCTACCGTTTTAGGGAGAATGAAAACTCAGATGCCCCTAGGTGCTAGGAAGGAGCATGAAGAATATAGGCAGGGATGTGTGTACTGCATTTTAAACACATGAAAAGGGAAAAGTTTATGGGCAGGCAGTAACTGAGCACAACCTCCAGGGGCTTATTTGCAGGAAGAGCACTCGGGGGCGGGGGGGGGGGGGGGGGAACAGCAGGCGTCCAGATCCTCGTTCCCAGTGATGACTGTGTCAGGGACTTGGCACTGGTAGTTGCATTTCGTGGCACACACCCTCCCTCCTCAGATGACTCAAGTCCTTGAAGGCAAATCCCCCGTTATCACTTTAGGCTTCCAACATTTAGCATAGAGCTTATGTGAAGTTCCCAATCACTGTTTATAGATGACTCAAATCATAAATATTTCAGAATGTTGTGAAATAAATCACAATATTGTGTAAGAATTTGTTCCCCAGAATAAAGTTAAGATCTTTAAATCTGGAGGATAATCAACCTAAACCACAGTATGTTTCACCAAGACTCGTGGCTTATAGTCACATTCTCTGAACTGCAAAAATGTGACGTGCTGACCTGAACCCTTTGGGTAAGGTGCAGTGAAATTCCAAGCTCCTGAGATGAAATTCGAATAGCACCGAGTCAAGGGCACATTCGACATCTACAGGAGTCTTGCTGGTTTTGAGAACTTTCAGTTAACTACCAAAATAAGTCTGTTCTTTTAGGTTTTAATACATTCCCAACTATCATCAACCATCATCTGAACCTTTGCTTCCACAGGTTAGCATTTAAATACACACGCCCCAGCATTCAACAGCGCTGGTGTGTAAAGCATTTGTGATGACAAGCTGCTCAGCCAAGTTTTTTGTATCAATGTCAGTACAACACATACTGCTACTGGTTTTCACGACTTCTAAAACTCCTACAGTAGCTACTTAGATTTAAAATTGGTAACACAGTGAAGATAACAACAACTTTGGAAAAGTCATAATCAAATGAATCACGGATGACCGCTCACCTGATAAAAATGGTTCTGGCCTGGCCATTCTGTTCCCAACTCAGACCAACAGTGTCCACAGGTTTCTCTTCCAGAATAGTCCAGATAACATATTAGTCATGCACACATAAATGAGGGTTACTAACAACTTGTCTATTTCAAGGAAGTCACAGTTTACCAAATAATAAACAATTGTGATGGTGTCAATGCCTTGGCCTTGAAAATGTGTCAAGAAAAAAAAGGAAAACCCAACTCATCAAAAAAGCTGGGAGTTTTCAATGATGCTATTTTAATCAAGTATAAATGGATCCAAGCATTAAATAATGTTTAAAGTACAAACTTTCTAGTTTAAACTGAAGTATTTCTGATTATGAGCCAGGTATTTACTGCAGCCAAGTAAGTTTTCTTGATTATTTCTTTTGTTTCCTGACTTGGCTGTCCCTAAATTCCAAAAGCAAGTCATCCAGCAGTTAGGTCTTAACAACCTACTACGTTTTACCAGCCTTTTGAAATAACCTTTGCACCAGCTTCCTACCAGTGGAAACTTCTCAGAAAAAACTCTTCTCAATCAGCATTTCCAAATCAGTTTAAATGGGCCACTTTTCTATGTATTGCAAATTAAACCACTTAACTACTGAAAAGGAGTGATTTCAAAGAAATAGTTGAGAACACCTGCAAAAGCAATTGGGACAACCATGCAAATAAACGAAGAACACAATTCCACTGAAATTATGAAGGCATTTTTAGTTAATTTATCCACACATTTCACATTCATAAAGTCATTTATTTCAGAGCAAATATAAGCTTATCATATTAAATTTTAAAATATTACAATATTTACAAACTTGCTTGAATAAATACAAATCCCGTACTGTTTTCAGTGTGTGCCAGTAAAAACGGCAGATCAGCCTTGTCTCTGAAGATCCCCACCCACCCCTGCACGGGAGCCTGAAGGGGAACGCGCCTGCCCTGAGAGTGCCCGTCAGAGCTTTAGACCCTCAACATTCTTCTTCAGGTTCAGCAGCTCCTTTTCCTGCCTTCTCTTCTCCAGTTTGAAGGCTAATCTGTTAGCTTTCTTCTCTACTCTCCGTTCCTGTACAAGAATATGTTCATGTTATGCACATCTTCAAACTGATGCAGTCTAATTTTATAAAATAAAATTCCCATGACCTCCCTGCCCCCAGCTCTTTGTAAATCTCCCATCTGGGAGAAGTACTTTCTCTACCTTGCGCTCTTCTTTAATTGCTTGCTTTCTTGCTCTTTTATCTTCTCTGCTTTCATTTCTAGAGCGTGGCTGCGTTGACACCTTGGGCAGATCACTGTCATTAATCATCTGCATTCGTTCAACTTGCTTCGCTGTGAATCCTTTCTTAGGTAAGACGTTGAGAGGTATCCCTGTTTTAGAGGATATGTGGATTTGTTTGGGCTGAAATAAAGATAAAATGGCATTAGGGTTATTCTTCGTTCCTATTAAAAAACAGCTTTTGACACTTTATTGTGGCTTCCTACTGGTGTTGGTAGTCACTAGAGATAAGCCACTTATGAGAAAATAATCTGTGCCGTTCCTCCCTTGCATTGCATATTCCAAACAGCTCAGGACGTCAGACTTACCTTTGGTTCATACTTGATAAGCTGTGGATGGTTATATAAATTTGAGTATGTACCTAAAAAAAAATCATGTATCCAGTAAGTACACCTTCAGTTCAACAAGAGTTCCTACTATATTCCCAGCTTTAGTTTTTTTTTTTTAGATTCATTTATTTTCAGAGAGAGGGGAAAGGAGGGAGAAAGAGAGGGAGAGCAACATCAATGTGTGGTTGCCCCTTGTGTGCCTCCCAACATGGCCGTAACTCAGGCACGTGCTCTGACTGGGAATCGAACCAGTGATCCTTGGTTCACAGGTTGGCACTCAATCCACTGGGCCACACCGGCCAGGGCAGCTTTAATGTTTTTACAGTTCAAATTAACACTGAAGTCTCTGTCATAAATGGTTTTATACTGTTTATAACTTAGAAATATTTTTTCAAATTTTCAGGAAATATATATCCTTTCAACAAGCTGATGTACTTGTTAACACTTTAAAACTACTGTCAAATTCTCAGCAGTAAAATGGACCCTAAGATACTTACTACAAATGGATTCACAATCCCACTTCTCCTTGCCTTCTTCAAGAACTACAGTAACAATCTCTTCCTCCTCAGACCCATCCAGTTCGTTCGTGGGTAGGTCCTGATCCTCGAAGGGTTCAAGAGTGCTCAGGCTCACACAGCTTTCGGTGACATTTCCGGAGAGGAAGACAAGAGGGGATCAAAGCACACCGCCCGTTATCATGCTGCATGTTACTCAACCTGCACTAAGTGCAGAGTTCCAAAAACTATGGAAACAAAAGCATTTTTACAAATCCACAACCTCAAGTGTCCTGTTTGTCACTTCCTGTCCCAATCAGCTTTATCTAGCCCTGCCTCTCCCTTCCAGCAGGTCTGGACATTCAGTCCGCGACAGGAAGGAAAAATCTATCTGCATCTTTGCAAGGATATAACACATTAAACAAAATAGCTGCTTTCCTAAAACATAATCTTTTTTAAAGCTGTGAAAAGCATTAGCCCATCTGTCTCTTCAAAGTATTCAAATAATTCACTCCAAGTATGTAGCTCTTATCCTGTTACAGGGTCAGCATATGACAGTGATCACAGAACATCAGACCTTTCTAGCAGATGTAAACACCTCATTAGCCTCTCAGAGAAATCACCTAATGTGGATGCTGATTCACCAAATACTTGGCTAGAAATTTCTACTAATCCAGCTGGATAGATAACTCTTATCTTTCTATAAGCCATAAATATGTACTTCTCAGAACGCCTGGCATATCAGGAAGATTAAGAGTACATACACTTAGAAGTCAAGGAATTCTTCGGCCAAAGAGGCTAGAAGCATCATCTCATTCTCAAGTGGAATGTGACCTTGGACTTCCCACTCTAACCCTGTTATTCCAACTTTACTCCCAGACACAGTGGTTCTCTGTATGTTCCTCACCACTGTTATATTCACTTTTAGAACTCTTAATACCAAAATGTGAGCCCAAGGCTATGAAAAATGTTCCATCATCTTAAGATGCATTCTGACTGGGAGATTTTTGACTCATGTGTACAATTCCTTTATTTGAACACGAAGAAACGTAGGTAAGCCAGGACAAGTCACGTACTTCTCTGCCTTCTCTTTATAGTAGTCATTCAGAACTTCCTCTAAGCGACTGCTGTCGACTTGAATGGAACCTTCCAGTTCAGCATTATCCAGAGCTCCAATTTCATCATCATCATACTGCTCATAAAACTTGAATATAAAGGGAAAAGACACCAAGAAAATGAATGCATTCAGTAAAAATACAGCCTTTAATGTTATTTTTTTTACGTTAATTTTACTCCTCCCATGAGGTCACCACTAGCAGTAACCTATTACGAGGGATTCGGCACCAAGCAGTATAGTGCAGGAGACACTCCACCCGGCACTTCCGACTGCACACAGGCTGCCCTGGAACGTGGCAGTGAAGGCAGTACCCTCTTTAGCCTGGGAGCAAAACACCAGGCGGCAATCTTTACCTAAGAATATTTCACAGATGCTTTCAAATTCGTTAATTATGCAAACTAATGTACGAATTTCACTTTTTTTTTTAGATGATGTTTATTTCAAATGCTGTTCACATTGTCAGGCTTTGTGAAAGAGCAATAAGCAGGGGGTGATGTAACCCCTGAAGTGAGGTTATTGCAGTACCAGTTTGCCTATTTCGCTGAGGAAGAATGGAAGCTGTTACTAAATGAAATGCAGTGACGACGTTAGAATTTTTATCTTAGGAAGCCATTTATTCATCCCTCCATCAATCATTTACTGAACAGTTCAAAGTGTAAACTCCTTCAGATAATGCCAGATAATACTTGAGGCCTTGGGATATATTGGTGAGCAAAAATACACACACATACGCAAATCGGAAAGAAATGAAATTTTGTTTATGCTCAGGCTAATGCTTAAGGAAGTAGCATAATCTTGGGGATTGTTACTGAAGAGGTTTGGAATCAAAATGTCAGCATTGTAAGAGAGAAGTCAGGGGTTTTGACAGGCCATCTTTTGACTTATTTGCATTCTTCCCAAAATCAGAGGTGGTCTGTTTTAATTAAAGTTATAGGCGGTTTCTAAAGCTGAAAGTTCTAGCTTTGGGTTCCAGTATTGTGTATTAAAAGCATTAAGGGGCCCTTACTTGGGGACCTTACCTTCTCAAATCTTTCATCGTGTAGGGTCAGCTGCTCATTTCTCCTCATGACTGAGGACGTCATAGAATAGTCAGTAAAGCGACTTTTCGTTTCCTCTTCCCAGAACAAGTGACTTTCTAGGGCCCCACGAGGCCTCCCTGGGGCTGACACAGCCTCGTCCGATGACGAGCCTGCAGAGCCAAAGTCGTCGTCATCGCTGCCTCGCTCCTTCCCATCAGCAGCGTCTTCCCACTCACTGCCACCTTCGGCCTCCCATTTCCTAAAGTCAGATCATCAATTAACTGCCAAAACAACTTGAAAAACAACAGAACCAAGTGACTTTACACAAATAAAATCTGAGGATGTTTCAGGGAGTCTCGTTTAGGGGGAACAGCTGTGCTGCTTGACCAGTCTGGTGCGAATGGAAAAGTAATGAACTAGCAATCAGGCATCCTGGACTTTAGCCCCACCTACTGATGGTTTGTAAAGAATTCCAGTCTCACACTGTCTGCTCTGAAATACAGAACTTTCAGACTCAAGTTTTGGAAAGTCCTTTTCAGCTGTAACATTCTATGGTTACTATCCTTTTAAAGAAGCAGCAATCGGGTTATCCCTGCTTTGAAACAAACCACACATACTGTATATCCATTCCCGCTTCCTCTTCTCTTGGCTTATTAGCCTGAAGAATAAAATCATCTTCAAGCAGATTATCTGGATCATCAAAGTCAAAATCATCATCAAGAGCTGCAACAATGTCAGGATCAAAATCCAGCCGAGGTCCTACACGAAAAACAGAGGCTGAGTAGTAATTCCCAAGAAATCATCAATCCTTTAACTTAACATAATGCGGTACCTATTAAATACCAAAGCACAGAACAATGAAGAACTCTTAAGAAATGCAGTCTAGAGAGGGAAATAGAGATGCATGACTGCAAGAAAATAAAAAAAGGAAAACCCCTTTCCATTACAGAGTTACAGTGTTAAATAGTCTATTAGGCAAAATTCAAAGCTTTGACCTGCAGCAAATAACTAGACTTTAAATTCACCAGTTAGAAGTCACTCAATAATCTGTAGCCTATTAAACTTTGTCTTTTGAGACTGAGATTTCAGTAAATTGCAGCCTGTTTCTTCAGCTATGTTTTTTTAAATAAAAACTACAGAGTTCAAGAGAAAGTTTCAAGTTCAAACTTATAAAGTGACATGGCTTCCAAAACCCCTCACAATGTGGCTACTGATTGGCCAGCCTCCTTTCACAGTCATCCTTACCCTTCACATCGGGCTTGGTAAATGCTCGAATTACCTATACTCTTGTTGCTTTGCTTTTGCACAGTTTCCTCCACCCAGAACACCCTCTCCTCACCAGCCCACCCTTTTTCACCTACCCGCTGAACTTACACCTAAGAAATCGACTTAGAATGATAGAATGAGTTCCTCTAGGACACTTTGCTCAGCACCCCAAAGCTTGTGTTTCACCCCTTAGCAACCCACAAGTTTGGTGAATACCCCTGAGCACCCCAAGGCTGTTTGGTGTTTCACCATTTAGTCATTTGCACTATAACCGTAATCTCCCATCTATCATCATCTTTCCCAATTGATGGCCAGCTCCTTGGGTCAGGGATTATGCCTTATACTGGTTTAACCGAAGACCCTGCCAAATAGTGGCAACTTAGAAATCTGTAGAATGGATTAATAGATTAATGCAACACGGCAAGTTTAGGAACTGAAAGATGGGAAAGTCGGGGGGGGGGGGGGGGGGGTGAAAAGGGGGAAGGGATTAGGAAGTACAAACTGGCAGTTACAGAATAGTCATGGGTGTGTCAAGTGAAACACGGAGAGTCTAATACTATTGTAATTACTCATGGTGTCAGATAATCAGTGTGATCACTTAGTAAATTATATAATGCCCAATCACTGTGTTAAATACCTGAAACTGATATATCATATGTCAACTATAATTGAAAAATAAGTTCTCATCACAAGAAAAAAATTCTGTACTGTGTGGTGGTGATATTAAGTAGACTCACTGTGGTTATCATTTCATAATATATACAAATACTGAGTAATTATGTTGTATACCTGAAACTAATATAATACTATATGTCAATTATATCTCAATAAAAATGTTAACCATTAAGAAAAAATCAAGGCAATTTAGAGTAAAATACTCTAAAATACTCTAATATGTCTGTGGACTTCTGTGCATAAAATACAATATTGGTACTACAAACCAACCAACCAAGAAACGTAATTTTTCAGCGTGTCTGGAACAGATGGAGAAAAGGGACTTCTACACTCTAGGGAGAACTTCTAAAAGCTAACAAATTAAAAGAACTCTGATGACATGCATCCCTTCCTAATGATCTCTAATCTGAATTTGAACACAACTCAATTGTTTCAACACTTCATCAGGGGTCAGCAAAAGTAGGTTTACAGTTGCAATACAAATAAATAATAATTGGTAGACAATAATACAATAACTGTTTCATGCACTCACAACTATAAACATACTTTGCCCACCTGTGTAAAACATAGCTCTGCCCACTGGAAAGGGTAAACAAATTAAACACACCTGACACAGGAGCTGCTTTATTTAACAGTCCAACGTCTTCCTCAAACTCTGATGCAAACACTGATGAAGGCAACTTAATTCCAGTACTCTTGAATAAGAAATGACACAAACGGTTAGGTTTAGTTAGCAGTACTTCCGAACCACTATGCAGGGTGAAAATGTGTTACCCCCAAATTCACGCTCAGCCAGAAGCTTGGACCGTGACCTTACTTAGAAATGGAATCCCTGCAGGTGTAATTAGCTAGGGTGAGGTGGTGATGGAGTGTGTCCGGCCCGAACCAACGACTGGTCCATGCTCACAAGAAGGCCGCGTGAACAGACACACAGGGCAGGACGCCGGGAGAAGATGGAGGTGACTAGTGCGATGCTAGCAGTTTCTGACCAGTCCTTATGCTTTCATTGCATCTTTTCAACCGAAAAGTTAATAACGGAGGGTCACATTATCTGTCTCCGTGCACCTCGCCATCTTCTCGGTCCTCAGCCGAGGAGCAGGCACGAAGTGGAGAGCACACTGCCCCCGGCGCCCGGTCAGCAGGCTGCACTGGCAGCCCCAGCAGGGCACCAAGTGCACGGCGTGCACGGCATGCACAGCAGCACGTGCCCAGCGAGCTGTTCCGGCTTCCAAAAGGAGTTTCTCTGTGGCACGGACTGGGTCTTCTGCTGCAGAGTACTTTTGTAAAAAAGACCCACTAGATATAATTCATATACACACAATTCACCCATTTAGAGTGCACAATGTAATGGTTTTTGGTATGTTACATTATCACTTTTTAAAAAACTGTGGTAAAATATATGTGGTCTTTAAGAAATATATTCGTTGTGGTTATTAATCCTTGAAATTCAGGGGTTGAAAAAAGGAAGGATCATCTTGTTTTTGTAAAGTCACCTTTGGAGACTGTTTCCAAATCTTGAGAAACAGTCAAAGAATCATCTACACAATTAGAGTTTAGACAGTGACTAAAAAGAAGAGTGGAACTCTTTTTATTAGTTGTAGCAATTCCTATGTATGGGGGTGGGCAAAAGTAGGTTAAATTACCAGCCGTCACTATTTAACAGATAAACCATACGTAAGGACACAGAATAATAAGACCGATGCTACAGGAATAAATAATACTTAAGAAGAAACTGTTTCACGTACGCAAGGCTGTAAACGTGCCTCGGCCCAGCCCTGCACACTCAGTTGGCCCGGCTGCCCTTCTAGCACAGCAGCCCTGCCTCCCTCACGTGAAAATCAGGGGCTGCTCCAGCAGCGCTCATTTCCATTTTGGTTTTATGCAATGCCTTACTTTCTGCTATTAGGGCTTATTCAAGATTTCGGCTTTATTCAATTTTGATGGCTGGTTACAAATTCCTTTAAGGTAAAAAAAAGTACATGGGACTCATCTACGTTTTTGGATTGTGCTGCAGAACACCAATGGCAATTTTGTTTTTAAACATGTACTTTTCCTGGTAAACATCACTGAAGGGTCCATTTAAGAGCCTAATGCTATTAAAAAGCCAATCAGATAGTAAGTGATTACTTTCAAACAACATGGCTTAGGGAATAAAAGCTAATCTTGTAGTGGTCAAAACAGTCAGCCAGAAGAACGTTAGAACTTTTCTCCATAAGAGAAAGAACTTGAGCCACTACTAGACGCCCCCCCACCAAATGGTTTATAGAAGGAAGTCGCTAAGGTAAGTATCCTATTATTTCTCCAACAGCCTTGAAGAAGGAGAAGGTGAGCTGGCTCACAGATGTGACAGTGGGCTGCGCAGCCTCACAAGAGGGCTATGAGCCAGTGAGTGAATGAACAGCTGCAGTTACCACCTCTTTCCGTGGGACCATACCCTGAAATCTAATCGTTCAAACTCCCTTTAAGCAAGAAGCTATAGACTGAAGGAGCTACGATCATATCTTCCCCGAGGAAAAAAATGCCTAGACCGTGACAGATTAAAGAATGAAAAGCAGGAAAATTTGGTGCCCTCTCCCTCCTTTGAAAATTTCTTCATTTTTGTCAGTAAACCCAATAAAGAAAGTGCCAGGTGATAGAAAAGTTTCACAGAGAAATGTATGCTAATATGAAATAAAAACAAGCTAACAAAACCTTGCAATATGGGTGTCCTTAATGTAAACAGGAGAGAAAAAGAACTCACGTTGGTAACACTAATTTCATATAAATACGTGCTCTCACTTGCACTTAAAAGATAAATTATTAAAGTGCTACCTAACATCACCACATCCATCCAAAGTTCCAACCTTGTCAAAAGCTGTCACTTGTAACAACTGCCACCAGAGAATGGGGGGGGGGCCTCCTGTACTGTACATGCGCACACACACACCCAGCACTTTCGGTGAGGGCATGGCCTGCCTCTGTGTCCTTCGGATTGATGCTGTTTCTTGCCCCGAACAATTACGGTGATTTTAAAATGGTGTCCCCCCGGGGGCACTTGCCGGGATCCCCCCACTCTCTCTCTCACACATAAATTGCTAAAAAACCTTACTGAATTTATTGAAGGGTCTTCATTTTCATTTCTCCTGTTGAGTATGCTGATGGTACCAGTGGGAATAAGCTCCGAGGGCCCCGATGGTTCCTTCAGGTGCTGCAGGTAATCATAGTCGTCATCGAAGAACACTCCATACTTCCTCTGCTCTGCTCGTCTCTCTTCATCATTTATCTAGGATAATTAGTAAAATGGAGCTAGTACCTCTTCCACATTAAGGCACAGGAACCTTCCAAAGGGTAAAGCTTTCAGAGTACGAGGCAGACGGCACACGGACATTCTGGCTGACACCAATGAGACAGTGACATTTTGACAAGTTCAGGAAGCCCAGAGCTTATAAACCACTATGCCACATAAAATTAAAATGTAAAGAAACTATTCCTCCTTTCACTAGACATTTCTGTGCAACAATTCAAGCCAAGAAACACACACGCAGCAATTTGTTTAATCGTGTACTTAGAAGATCAGGAAAAAAGACTAGGGGTTCCCGAAAGATTAAGTACAATTTCTTGTATTTATATGCAAAGAAACTTCTCAACGTACATCACAAACTTTGGGCCCAATGTTCCCCAACACTTCCTTTCACAATACCCACACTTAACATATATACTGATTGATAATCACCAATCGACCTTGTGAAGGCTCCTGGTATTTTCTAAAGCTAACTTGTGAGTTTCAATGTTTTACATTTTGTGAGATGAGTGACCAGAAGGCAAAATGCAGTTTGTGGTTATGCAATGAAACAACCTTAGGAAAAGCAGAGACTTAATATTTTGGTTGTGCCTTAAATAACATCATGCAGTACTAGAGCGGATATAAAATATTACACCATAAAATATATAAAATGTAAAGTATATTTAATATTTATTAAATATAATATTTACCATCACTCTATAGGACTTGATCATTGAAACATCTCAAATAAAGATAATTTATTTTCTCAAAGTAAATATGCACAATGTAAACATCAGCACACTTGCTGAAAATTAAGTCACAAATTTTGTTTCCCTGAAAATCAGTTATCTGAGAATAGCAGCTAGCTAAAAAAGTTGTGAAAAGCCCAACTACAAACTTACTGGCTAAAGATCAGCACCTACTTTCTGTGTAGGCAACAGAACTCTCTGGGGTGCAGTCTCATCTGCTGCTAAAGGATCTCGCTGGCTCCGATGGACCAGGTGAAAAGACACAGCCTTCTTCTTTTCTATAAAAGGCTTTTTCTTCCTGTGAGGCTTCAAAGGACAGAATCAGAACAAGCCGTTAAAACAGAACCAAAACACCAGTGAATAGTATCATAGTCCACATAGGCATCTTCAGTAAATTATGTGAAAAATCAACATATTTTTGAAAACTTACACTTCTAGGGTCAGCAGCATCAACTATGTTCTCTAAAATCTATACTTACCTCCCTCCAATAAACATCTGTTGGCATCTACTCCGTAAGCAGACTTTGTTATGGGTGCTGGCGACCCAGCAATTGGAAAGCTGGACAAGCCCCTATTCTTCTCTAGCAAGTCATCAAGAAAAATGATTTCACATAAAGGAAACAAGAGTTACTTAAATTGGGTGCTCTGAGAAGGTCCCCGACAGGTTGGAGCAGAATGACAATGAGCCTGACACAAGGAAATCTGGGAAAGGCAATTAGTAGTAAGTAGGGTACTCACTTCATGTATCAACTATTATGTGAGACGGCGACACAACAGCTGAAGATTAATAAGATTCACCATTTATTTCTACAGTTTTATTTCGCTACCCAACCTTGCTTTGCTAAACGGAGAAAGCATCATCCCAGTAGGAAGATGCCTCCCTTTGGGCTGAACCTCAGAGGGTCCCACAAGTTCCCTTCCCCAGAGCAAACTGACGGGCAGACGCCACCCTCTTCGCTCGACCCCGTGAACACAGGGCGGTACATTTGTGTTTTATATCCCACAAGTTTTCTGGCCTTTCTGGGTAAAGGGGGGGGGCAATACTTTGATGTACGTTCTCAGGGAGGCTCTTGACCATGCAAGACACACCCTAAACGACAAAGTATGACCGAGCTGGTGAGGATGACCCATACATAACCAGAAACCTGTGCCGCAAACAGCCTCCCCGCACCTTCGGGCCATTAAAACCGCGCCCCCGCCCCCCGCCCCAGCTCTCCACCCCCCCAGGAAGCCGGTTACGCTCACCATGTTGCAGCCGCACGGCGCTCACACCGCAGAGCGGTGGCTACACTCTCTGAGTCCCGGGGTTGGTGACAGGACACCTCCGACCCGCCGTCAAAGGCCAGCACGCAACTGAGTCTCTGGGCCTAAACACACGTGCTAACCCCGGAACCGGACAGGAAGTCACACAGCGGGCCTTGGAAATAAACCAATCACCGAAGAGCTAAAGGGTCGTGGCCGGTAGTTACGTATTGCTCTCTTCGTCCCAAAGATCGCGAGAAGCTCCTGGGAGGTAGGCTATTCCCACCCCCCGGGAGGCGGGGCTTTTTCGGCCATGATTTTGTAAGTCCTGCGGGGAATGGAATCGCAGGTTCCCCTGAGGCTCTGGGGTGCGAAAGGGGGTTTCTCTTTTGGCGAGAACTTGGCTTTTATAGCGCCCTCTATCGAGAACAGAGGCCACGTATCCAGCGTTTCCTTTGACAGTTGTATTCCCTGGGCATTTATGACCATAAAAAACAAAGCAAAACAAAAACCGTATACACAGAAGGTGGGCACCTTCTCCGGTACCCGAATTTTCAGGTTCCCCCTCTTTTGTGCTGGCGCGAAGACTGTTGCGTTTGCAGGGGAAAGTCAGACAACAGTGAATATTCACTATTCCCAGGACCTTGCTATTCTAGGCCGCCCAGGCTTAATCAGGTGTATTTTACACCGTTAATGAATTGCATTAAACGTTCGGTTAATCAAAGCCCCCAGACTGTTGACAGTAGAGGCATTTGAATTAATAAAATATGTTCAGAATCTCTTGGGTATTTGTACACCCCATCTTATAAAATGAAAAGTTTGTTCTTTTCCAAGTCTTTCCTCAAGTGTTTCAATGCAGTTTAAGCAATAGGCTAGAGCACAGGTGGTGAACACAAGGCCCACAGGCAGATTCTGGCCCTCCACGCCGGCCGCAGGGCCGAGCTCTCGCTTGACTGTGAAGGAGTAGTTACATTTATACAGACCCGAAATCACATTCGGCCCTTTGAAAGCAACTGGGAGGCTGATGTAGCCCCCAGTGAAAATGAGCTCGACACCCCCGGGCTAGAAGCACAAGCCAGGAGAATGTCACGCAGGTGCTGCAGCGCTCTCGGTGCTTCTCCTGGGCAAAAGAGGGTTATGCATTCAAAGTTTTATCAGCAGACTTTGTTTCAAGTTTGTGTTTTCCCTTCCCAATATCTAAAGCCTTTCCAATGTCTCAGTTATCTTGGGTTGCATCTTTATGCCTATTACCATTATGAGTATTTATGGGCTATTATTCATGTATTACAATAAAATTATAGAAACGATTTAGATTAGGACCACAGAGCTTGTCTTGAGAAAGTGCTTTGTGACAGAAATAATACATAACACACTTTTATGTACCAGACTCTCATTATAATTAAGTTTTATGAGGGCAGATTTAATTTTACTTTTATCTGTTTTTATTTACTACTTCTGTCTATCCTGAAGCCCTAGAATTGTGCTTGGCACATATACTCAATAAGTGCTATTTGTTTAAATGAATTATCGTTCTGGACTTTATCTGAATTATTTTATGCCTTCCTTGCTACAACAATATGAGAGAGGTGCTATTATCTTCATTATTCTCCTAATACTAAAACGCAGGCATAAGAAAGTTAAGTAACTTTTTCAAGGTCACACAGCCAGTCAAATGGCAGAGCAGGAATTTAAACTCAAGTCTAGAGACTGATCACTTAACCACATTGCTTGCTTTTTTCCAATAATATTCTATTACTTTATATATATATTAATACATATATTCGTAAGCCTGATACTGAGCACATTGTGCTGTGTGCTTTGTATTCATGATGCCATTCAATTCCTTTGACAAGCCCGTAAAGTACAGTTAGACAGCACTGAACCTGTCCTACAGAAGCAGAGTCCGAGGTTCCGAGATCTGAGTGACTTGCCTAAGGCCACACAGAAGGTGGGTGAGCCTAGATGTGCAGCCCATTGGTCAGCCGCAGCAGTGCCACGCCCTTCACCATATGCTACACTGCCTTGCTAAGGCGGTCAGCCAGCAACTCCTGTCCATTCTGCCTTCTAAATATCTGAATGTATCACTTTATTACCTTTTAAATCAAATTGATCACTTTTAATAGTCTGATTCCAGTCGTGCAATTTCTCTGTGTAAAATTTTCAACATCCATCCTCTGGCTTAATGATCAAGTCCAAACTCTTTCTCATGGCAGCCAAGACTGTATCAGCTGATCTTGACTCATCAATTAGGCATCTTGTCTCCTATGCCTCTACATACTGTAACAGGGTGCCAAGCGGTGGTCCCCAGAATATAGGAGAAATTCTCCACGGCCTATGGTTGGTGGGAGGGGGAGTGGATGATACAGCAGTTAAGATGCTTTTCATAACAACGAGTTCACAGCCATGTCCATCCTGAAAGGAAGTGGACTGCTGCCTGGGGTGAAAGGAGTATATGGCTCTGAGAGTGTACAGTGGCTTGTGACATAGCCAGGGGGCATGAATGCCCTCCCTAGGTGTCTCCGTGTCACAAGGAACTCTTACCCTGACCAAAGGTGGCTGCCAAAAGAAGATAAAAGATGTGGAACTGGCAAAAATGGCTCATTGTAGGAGGAGCAGATAGGAAGTTCCAAGCATTTTAAAAGGAGGCTGGCTGAGAGAAGAGGTAGCCATGAGGAAGGAACCATAAAGTAGGGGGCATTCAGCCATGAGGGAGAGAAGAAGCAGCAAGCAGCTATGCAGTTTGTAGTGAAGTCGTCTGCCATGAGGGCTGGTGTGTAAGGTAGAAGCTGGGAGTCAGAATTCTGCCATACCGCCTGGGATGGTGAGGATGGCAGCCATGGGGGCTGAGAAAGGGTAAAAGGGGAAAGTTGCTAGAGCTGTGCAGGAACCTACCTAACTAAGCCCGGATTTGAGGGAGGTGCTTTGGAACTGAACTGTGCCCAGGGATGTAGACTGCTGCTTCTCTGAAGGATGCACAGAGAAGCCACTCTCTTGGGACACGTGCCTCCCTGGACTCCACCATGATGCAGGGGAACACAGCACGTGTTTCCTGGACTACTACATGGAGGCTGAGGACAACACACCCCCGATCCTGAATGAGAGAGCTGCTGTGAAAGGATGGCAATTCCAACACCCACGAGTGTACCTTCCAGAGGGGATGAAGAACTGTTTGCACAGCTGACTTAAGCACAGCTTAGGATATGGGGAACTTTGAGGCATGGTTTTGGCTTATAGCCTGGTGGGAAGCAAGGGGAGTTCTGGGTCTCATGGGAGAACAGGGCTCTGGGCAGGAGTGTTCCCAGTGACCCTGACGTTGGAATCCTGTAAACAAAAACTTGTTTCCTTCAACACTAATTGTTGGGTCATGCATCAAGGCAACACGTGGATGGGCCCCTGTTGCTTGGTTACAATACCACTCTATGACCCAGTCTATCAACCTGTTTGCAGTTCTCAAATGTACCTAAAAGAGATTGGCTTTCTCATGCTCGTATGAAAGGCTCTTTCTTTTAAAATTAGCTTAGTTATTTCTGCCTATTTCTTAGGAAACTGACACAGGCACACATTGCAGATACTGTGGGTTCATTTCAGACCACTTTAGTAAAGTGAATATCACAATAAAGGGAGTTGTAATCTTTTTGCTGGCAGAGGGTCTTGCCTTTGCTTTGTGAAAAACACGACATGTACGAAGCACAATAAAACAAAGTGCAATAAAGTGAGGCATGGCTGTAGTCTTCAAAACTAGGGCTCATCTCAAATGTTTTCACTGCATCCTGTGATTACACTCTTCTACTCAGTTACACTAAGTTGTAAAGTTTTAGAATTAGACTGTAGTAACCTGCTTGAAGACAATGATTTTTATCTTGCCAACTTTACTTTTTCAGGACAGAGTATAGTAAGGACTCAACAACAATTACACTGTTCAAAGCACTTCACATACATTTACTCATTAAATTCCTAGAGGAAGACGTTAGGAGATACACTATTATTATCCTTTTATTTTATAAATTAGAGATTGAGGAACAGACAGTCAAGTGACTTTTGCCCCAGGCCATGAAGCCAAAATGTGAACTCGGCTGTACCTGGAGAATCCCACCCTTTACTGTTACAACAGACCCCATTTCAAAAAGCCAACACTCACAGTGAGTTTATGGGTGTCAGAGACTGTCCTGGGTCGCTATATATGTGTTAGCTCATATACTGTTTGTCAAATGCAATATCTAGGGCAATGCATTTGTTATAATGGTTACATACAAAACTCTGGCTTGTCATAACACAAGGTTATCTCCTACAATTCAAATGTCACTTTCTACCATTAACATCATCCAGAACTGAAATGTTATAGCAATAATAAATCTAAACTATACTTCGAGTCTCATTAGTATGCTCTAATGAATTGCATCTATATCAAAATGATTATACAGAATTTCTAGCTTAGTTTGGGCTTCGAAAATTTTCTTATTTTTTCCATATGAAATCGGCTTGCCTATTGAAATTATGCTTATCATCTATCTTAGCCTCAATTACATCACATTCAATAGGGGTTCTCCATCAGCATCATTTAAGGATCCCAAAACATCAGGAAACCAATGTACCCCAAAGAGGAAAAAATTTGCTAGACCCCGAGGCAATGACTTTAGGAACTATAAATTACATGCTTGACAATATTTATAGAGCTTATGGATGTAATTAATTATAAAAAGGTGAGATGCATAAAGACTGGTATACCAGGATGGTCACTGTAGCAAGCACTCTTTGTAATAGAGAAAAAAAACTGAAATTACATTAGTAAAGGATTATTGAAAAAAACAAAACAGTCATACTGTGGTATATTGTGAAGCTGTTAAGGAAAAGACAGATCTATATGAATAGCCACTTACTAAGTTGCAAAAAGCAGTTTGCAGAACATCATAGGTGGCATTTTTTGTTAAAAAATTATAAATAGAAAAACATTTTATGCAGAAATAATCCTAGTGCAAGCATAGACAAATATCTGATTGACTGACTGTATAAAACTGCCCACAGTAATTGTCCACAAGGAGCTGGGGTCACAGGAAACTCTCAATTTCTTCATTGTTTGTAAGTTTGCAGTGACAATTTGAATGATTACGTTTGTATATAAAAAAGTGAAGATACTTAAATACAAAAACTAAACAGGG